GTAATCCCAGCCAGAGTAGGGCAGAGTGTTTGCTGAGTGCTGTGTGACTAACAGTGTGCTGGTGCACACTACTCAGCTCTCCTGTGCCAGGAATGCGGAGGAGTGTTCTCTCAGATCAGTGCACCGCACAAGCACGGCCACAAATTGTTTTTTCATCCAGGGGAATGAAAAATGATTGTGAAATATATCACTAATCACTTTTTTTTCTTCCCATTGGAGTATAATATACAGTGCAAGTCAGTGTCTGGGAAACGGCTTTCATCAACGGTCTATTCTTCTTCCAAGACTGTATTACCCAGATTTCTACTATGGGTAATATCCTACAGTGGGATGGATGAACATTGTGGGTAATATCTTACAGTGGGATCGATTAACATTCTGGGTAACATCCTAGAGTGGGATGGATAAACATTGTGGGTAACATCCTACGGTGGGATGGATAAACATTGTGGGTATATTCTACAGTGGGATGGATAAACATTGTGGGTAATATCCTACAGTGGGATGGATAAACATTGTGGGTAACATCCTAGAGTGGGATGGATAAACATTGTGGGTAACATCCTAGAGTGGGATGGAGAACCATTGATGGGAACATCATACAGTGGGATGGATAAAATTGTAACACCTACCGTGGGATGATAAACTTGTTGGGAATAATCCTACAGTGGATGGATAAACAAATTGTGGGTAATAAATCCTAGAGTGGGATGGATAAACATTGTGGGTAACATCCTAGAGTGGGATGGGTAAAACATTGTGGGTAACATCCTAGAGTGGGATGGATTAACATTTGTGGGTTAACATCCTAAGTGGGATGGATAAACATTGTGGGTAAACATCCTAGAGTGGGATGGATAAACATTGTGGGTAATATCCTAGAGTGGGATGGATAAACATTGTGGGTAACATCCTACAGTGGGTAACATCATTGTGGGTAACATCCTAGAGTGGGATGGATAAACATTGTGGGTAACATCCTAGAGTGGGATGGATAAACATTGTGGGTAACATCATTGTGGGTAATATCCTACAGTGGGATGGATAAACATTGTGGGTAACATCCTACAGTGGGATGGATAAACATTGTGGGTAACATCATTGTGGGTAATATCCTACAGTGGGATGGATAAACATTGTGGGTAACATCCTAGAGTGGGATGGATAAACATTGTGGGTAACATCCTACAGTGGGATGGATAAACATTGTGGGTAACATCCTACAGTGGGTAAATCATTGTGGGTAACATCCTAGAGTGGGATGGATAAACATTGTGGGTAACATCCTACAGTGGGATGGATAAACATTGTGGATCATGTGGATAACATCCTAAGTGGGATGGATAAACATTGTGGGTAACATCCTAGAGTGGATGGATAAACATTGTGGGTAACATCCTAGAGTGGGATGGATAAACATTGTGGGTAACATCATTGTGGGTAATATCCTACAGTGGGATGGATAAACATTGTGGGTAACATCCTACAGTGGGTAACATCATTGTGGGTAATATCCTACAGTGGGATGGATAAACATTGTGGGTAACATCCTACAGTGAGTAACATCATTGTGGGTAACATCATTGTGGGTAACATCCTAGAGTGGGATGTCTTTCTCCAGTCTTCTGTCACTGGTAGTTCATCAATATTACTTCAACATCTGATTGGTGGACAACTCGCTCAGCAGTTGTGCATACAGCCCTGTGTCTCACAGAGTGAGGACGGTCTATCAATCATGGCTGGAGACCAGCCTTAGTGGAGAAAACTGCTTGGAGACAGAGCCTACTGTCCGCAGAAACAGCTGGCTGGAACATACCTACTGGGCAGCATGAAACAGCTGGTTGGAGACAGAGCCTCTGTCGCAGAAACTGGCTGAGACCAGAGCTATGTCACGCAAAACAGCTGGTTGGAGACCAGAGCCTACTGTCACGCAGAAACAGCTGCTTGGAGACCAGAGCCTACTGTCACGCAGAAACAGCTGGCTGGAGACCAGAGCTACTGTCACGCGAGAAACAGTGGCTTGGAGACCAGAGCCTACTTCACGCAGAACAGCCGTCTGGAGACAGAGCTACTGTCACGCAGAAACAGCCGGCTTGGAGACCAGAGCCTACTGTCACGCAGAAACAGCCGGCTTGAGACCAGAGCCTACTGTCACGCAGAAACAGCCGGCTTGGAGACCAGAGCCTACTGTCACGCAGAAACAGCCGGCTTGGAGACCAGAGCCTACTGTCACGCAGAAACAGCCGGCTTGGAGACCAGAGCCTACTGTCACGCAGAAACAGCTGGCTTGGAGACCAGAGCCTACTGTCACGCAGAAACAGCTGGCTTGGAGACCAGAGCCTACTGTCACGCAGAAACAGCTGGCTTGGAGACCAGAGCCTACTGTCACGTAGAAACAGCTGAAGACAGCAGCATCACAGCCACATGTGTTTACAGCAGCAAACCGAGGGGCTAATATAAAGCAGAACGTGTTGTGTTCACAGATTCATTTCTGAGGATGCGTCCCAAATTGCACCCTATTCCCTATATAGTACACTACTTTTGACCTGGACCCTGGGATCTGATCAAAAGTAGTGCACTATATAGGGTAGAGGGTGCCATTTGGGATGCAGACCGCCTCATAGAAAATATGATTCAAATGTTGTGTCTGTGTGCCAGAAAGCTCTCCAGGAAGATAATGATAGCCTTGTGTGACAGGCTCTCTATCCCTGGCAGCACAGTGCCTTGTAATGTCTGATCATTATATCCAGAGCCCAGCAATAATGACAAACCTCCACACCACAGTCAGAAAAGACTTTCCCCTTAAAAGATACGGTGGTCAAGCGGTAAATCCACTGCTTTTGGCAACGTACTCATGAGATAATGTCTTGTGAAGTATGCGGTCGGCACAGCCATCCTGTATCAGCCTGGAACGATCGCTGCGTCCCAATTGGCACCCTATTCCTTATGTAGGTATGGTCAAAAGGTAGTGCACTTTATAGAGAATAGGGTGTAATTTGGGATGCAAACATTGTGTATTGGCTCCCATGGGCAGCAGAGCCTTCTGGGTAATTTGATTCTGGTTGTGTGGTGTGGTATGGTTGGGTAGGTTGGGGGGGGGGTCATTAGAAGACACTAAATAAATACGGGCAATCATATCATATGTTCACTCTGACGACAACAACCCAGCAGCAATACTCCTGAGTGGCGCAGTGGTCTAAGGCACTAGCTCAGTTGATAGAGCATGGCGTTTGCAACGCCAGGGTTGTGGGTTCGATTCCCACGGGGGGCCAGTATAAAAAAAAATATATATATATATATATATATTCACTAACTGTAAGTCGCTCTGGATAAGAGCGTCTGCTAAATGACTAAAATGTAAATGTAAAATGCAATAGGATAAAAGCTCCTCCCACCCACTCACTGTACATTCTGTAACTTATATTGAGTTTTGGTCACATTGTTGATCTTGACACAAACACCACCTTGCCCTGCACAGTTGACTGTTCCTATGGTCATTGATGGTTTGTGAGACAAGCAGCACATGCTTCACTATGGTGGATTTTATTTTAGGAGTGACTTTTCCTCTGGATAGAATAGTGGTGGCAACATCAAAGACATAAACACACACACCCTCTCCTGGCTATTAAACTACTCAAAACAACTAGAATAACCACTTCTCCACTGAGATATACCACACACACACACACACCAACTCCCTGTGGTTACTGGCGTGGCCTCCACATACATTAACCAACAGTGTGATAGTGATGTTTGCACTTTATACCCTGACAAACATGGGCACCACACGTTTATCTATACTGTGTGTGCAGGAGGAGGCTACAGCCAGCAACTGCTGTTTCACTCTCAGTCTGTTTGAGCAGCTGTGGCACTTTTCCAGTTCATATTCTGAACATTTCTGACATCAGTATTTCCTATCCTCTACATCAGGGCTCTCCAACCCTGTTCCTGGAGAGATACCGTCCTGTAGGTTTTCACTACAACCCTGTTCCTGGAGAGATACCGTCCTGTAGGTTTTCACTCCAACCCTGTTCCTGGAGAGATACCGTCCTGTAGGTTTTCACTCCAACCCTGCTCCTGGAGAGCTACCGTCCTGTAGGTTTTCACTACAACCCTAATCTAGCGCACCTGATTCGAATAATTAGCTGGTTGATAAGATGAACGAGGTTAGTTACAACTGGGGTTGGAGTGAAAACCTCCAGGAAGGTAGCTCTTCAGGAACAGGGTTGGAGACCCCTGCTCTACATGATTGACTCATAAACCCAGAGAATATTCTAGGCAGCTGATCCTATAGGTATCTAAAGACACTCAGACCACAGCATATATGGCATCTTGCCAACTAGTGAGTGACCGACTTCAAATGTTTTACTGGGAATAAACAAGTATTTTTGAAATGTCACATCAAGCCCCAGTCTTCATGGGGGCATGATGGAAAATGGTAGATTTAGGTAGAGGGACCCCATCCCTGGTGTCTCTACCAACCAAATATAGCAGTGGCCAAACTTGCCAGTCAACAAGTGGATTATGGGGACAATTGCGAATTTTATGATAGTTATCCAAACAAAACCACATGTACATCAATGACAATTCCAACCCTACAATCTCAGCCTCTTCATTGAGGGAGGCGTTCACTTCCTATCCAAGATGATGCCTCACTGAAACCAGACGCAAGAAGGTATGCGTTAAAAACACATAAACACACATTCTATTTGCCAACGACTAGACTGGTCTGTCACTCTCAATCAAGCTCTTGAACGTGGCACGTTTATCGTTCTATGTTCAGCGGCAGAGGAGGTGAAAGAGAACAAGAGATGAGATAATTATTATAGACGCGAACGTAGCCGACTGGTGTCGTGATTTATTGTGTGACGTCTGTCAATTACCCACAGATCGAGATTTTTAAAAAGTTCCATAATGTGTATCACAAACGAAATTCATGCATGCCAGCTTTGACACAGTTAACTCACAAGTCCCTATATTAATTGCATTATGCAATAAATATGAGAGAGAGAGAGAATAACGAGGGTGATAATATTATCATTGATAAGCCTAACAAATAATTAAATGTTATTATAAGGCCAAATAATATATATAGGAAATGTTTGTTATTTGTTTTATCAAACAAAATATTTTCATTTAGGACTCTTACCAGAAGACACTGATGAACCCGACAAGCTTGAGTTGCTGGATGCTGCCATCCCAATCCGCTTCAGGCTCGGTCTGGTCACTCGCGGTCGGTCGAGGTGCGCTCACAGCCCGTCCCCGGTAGTCCGTCCATTTCACTATGTCACGTAGCGTAGCCTCCTCTCACTCACTGCTTTGGCACGAACTGACACTGTTTATTTCACGTCCGTTTTCGTTCCTTCTGAATTCCTGTTCTTGTAGGTGTAACGTTCCAGCGCGCTTTCACTTCTCTCTGTTCCTTTCCCTGGTGGTTCCCTGCGCGCCGTATGTTGTCGCATTTACTGTAGCTCCACTCACTGGCAGTAGTGTAAAAAATAGTCAAGCGACAGGATCACAGGAACAAGATCAACTTTCGATCATCTTGTCTAAATGCACAACTATACACACCATTAAAGTTTGTCAAATGTATCCACTGGAAGGGCGGCATATGCTTTCGCCATGTTGAATAAAAAATACACTATCGTTTCCATGTGGTGGTGCCACTTCTGGGATCGAATAAACACACTAGACTGGGACGGAGCCGCCTTCTTAAAGTGGAAGTATTCAGTAAACTGAAATAGACGTCTGAACTCCAGTCAATCTGAAGCGGATCTATTCCTCTGAGCTCTGACCTTTGATTTCAATATGATGATGAGGATGATGATGATGATGATGATGATGATGACAGAGTGCGTGAGTGCAGGGCAGGCTGCTGCTGGTTCAGAGGTTCACTCCCAACTGCCATAATAAAATCAAATAGCCAGAATAAAATACATATTTGAGGATGTTTAATCAGAATATAAACATGATGACAACTGTATTCGACTATATTGCATGTATTCAACTCCAAACCATAAAGTCCATTTACACCCTTTAATCATAATAATAATAATAATATAATAATATGCCATTTAGCAGACGCTTTTATCCAAAGCGACTTACAGTCATGTGTGCATACATTTTTATGTATGGGTGGTCCCGGGGATCGAACCCACTACCCTGGCGTTACAAGCGCCATGCTCTACCAATTGAGCTACAGAGACCACAGATCCATAGGAGATTGATTTCCACAGCCTAAAAAAATAGTTTTTCTCTAAAGTATATAGGCCGTGTTTAAACAGGCAGCCCAATTCGGATACTTTTTGCACTAACTGATCTTTTGACCAATCAGATCTGAAATGTATATATTATTAAAAGATCTGACGTGATTGGTCAAAAGACCAATTAGTGGAAAGAATATCAGAATTGGGCTGCCTGTGTAAACGCAGCCTTTGTCACCTCACATAGCATGCATGTGTCTGTGTGTGACCACATAATTCATTTTTTAAAATCTATTTACCTAGGCATACTAAAATGTCTCCCAAGATTAGGGGAATGTGTCCATTTTTGAGTGTAGGACCTAAAAATACACTGCCTGGAGAAGTGTTTTACAAGAAAACAGTAACATTTAAGAACCATCTGGATAGATCGTAAACAAATGGTGCCGAATTTAGCAGTTGCGAAAGTTCTTTGACATGAAGAAATGTTGAGTACCGGAAATGCACTGTTGGGGTGAAGGATCAGATTACATAAAATCACATGATCGCTCATCCAGTTGATCATGTGACCAATGGATATTTTAAACAACAGCGGAGCAGCAACGTGAAACTACAGATGGTTTGATTTATCTTGCTTCAATAACACGGATTAGCTGGCTGCTCTGAATTCCATCCGAGGCGAGCGCAAATTATGGGGTATGTTTGCAAAATAAAAGTGTATGGAAAGCCTGGTCATTGGATTATTCAGTGCAGTTCTCTCAATGGTTATTTGACTAGGCTAGTTACATAGTTCCTTCTTATGTATTGAACATACTGGAAAAAGACATGCGCAAACTAGCTAAAGCAGAAAGTTGGACATTTGATAATGCAAAAAGTGTGAGAATTAAATTGTGTCGAAACTGAACTATCACATTTCTCTGCTTTCTACTCACCCGTGACAGAATGTTAAAGGAGACGCTGTGTGTCCTTCTCCTGTGGGACTTCCCTGGAGGCAGCGCAGTCAAGGGGCTGCTCGAGTTTCTTCTGCCGGAAATCTCACCGTGTCAGCGCGCTCTCCAGAGGATCCGACCCCGGCAAGCCGCTCTTTCTCACCCCCTACCTGGAAAAGGGCAACATCGAAGAGGGTAGGTTGGTTTACTTTACTCAGAAACGATATTTTGGTATTTTGTTCATTTGTTTAACTGTTAATACTGTCCCAAATGTTGTACATGGCAGTAGTCAAGTTTCAAAAACTGATGATGATGCGATATACATTTTGCATCATCAACACAGTTAGGATCCCCATTAGCTGTTGCACTATGCAGCAGCTACTCTGCCTGGGGTCCATGCCACAAAACATGACATGACAGAGTGCAGAACAGTTCTTACAATGTTGCTATGTTAACATCATGAATGGTACAGTATTACACAGAAGTCTGATAAAGACTAATCGTAGTGTTCAGATTAAACTAGGCTTGAGACAGTTTTTTTCTGTATATTTGAAAGCAATGATCTCTTCTATCTTTCAGCACGGAAGCAGAGTCTGGTAGGTCCCCTGCCCTGGTGCCAATGTGAAGAGTTATGGTGGCTACCTCACTGTCAACAAGAAATACAACAGCAACCTCTACTTCTGGTTCTTCCCTGCTCAGGTACTTTTGACCAGGGCCCTTAGGGAATAGGGTGCAACCCATATCAGCTGCAGTGTTCTCCTCCTCAGTTTCACTCGTGACAAGAATGAATAGCACGTGTTTATCTAGCAATCACCTTTCATCAGCTCCTGTAAAGGACTATGTGAATCAGGGCAGAGTTTTATTTGGATTGTACATTTCAACATGTTTCAGAAAACTTAACGAAAGACTTATAGCCCCTTTTAAAGTAAGTACAAAACAAGTCCTTTATGCTACCCACATTACCAAGATCCTAGTAATAAAACAGTGTTTTTACTTCATGACTGTGTGTCAATGACTTAGCCACAAGGTGAAAGTGTTGTATTAGAAGGTTTTTGGGTTGAGGCCTGTCACTAAGATAGCTCCAGCATCCACTATTAGATATCCACTAACTTGTGTCTGTCTCTCTGCAGGAGAGGCCTGAGACCGCTCCAGTCCTGCTGTGGCTGCAGGGGGGTCCAGGGGGCACCTCTATGTTTGGGCTGTTTGTAGAACATGGACCCTACGTTGTATTGAAGAACCTAACAGGTACCAACATGGCCACATGTCTCTGTACTGACCCCTGTCTACTGTATAATAACATGTCTCTGTACTGACCCCTGTCTACTGTATAATAACATGTCTACTGTATAATAACACGTCTCTGTACTGACCCCTGTCTACTGTATAATAACACGTCTCTGTACTGACCCCTGTCTACTGTATAATAACACGTCTCTGTACTGACCCCTGTCTACTGTATAATAACATGTCTCTGTACTGACCCCTGTCTACTGTATAATAACACGTCTCTGGACTGACCCCTGTCTACTGTATAATAACATGTCTCTGTACTGACCCCTGTCTACTGTATAATAACATGTCTCTGGACTGACCCCTGTCTACTGTATAATAACACGTCTCTGGACTGACCCCTGTCTACTGTATAATAACACGTCTCTGGACTGACCCCTGTCTACTGTATAATAACACGTCTCTGGACTGACCCCTGTCTACTGTATAATAACATGTCTCTGGACTGACCCCTGTCTACTGTATAATAACACGTCTCTGTACTGACCCCTGTCTACTGTATAATAACATGTCTCTGTACTGACCCCTGTCTACTGTATAATAACATGTCTCTGGACTGACCCCTGTCTACTGTATAATAAAATGTATCTGGACTGACCCCTGTCTACTGTATAATAACATGTCTCTGGACTGACCCCTGTCTACTGTATAATAACACGTCTCTGGACTGACCCCTGTCTACTGTATAATAACATGTCTCTGTACTGACCCCTGTCTACTGTATAATAACATGTCTACTGTATAATAACACGTCTCTGTACTGACCCCTGTCTACTGTATAATAACATGTCTCTGGACTGACCCCTGTCTACTGTATAATAACATGTCTCTGTACTGACCCCTGTCTACTGTATAATAACATGTCTCTGTACTGACCCCTGTCTACTGTATAATAACATGTCTCTGTACTGACCCCTGTCTACTGTATAATAACATGTCTACTGTATAATAACATGTCTACTGTATAATAACATGTCTCTGTACTGACCCCTGTCTACTGTATAATAACATGTCTACTGTATAATAACATGTCTCTGTACTGACCCCTGTCTACTGTATAATAACATGTCTCTGTACTGACCCCTGTCTACTGTATAATAACATGTCTACTGTATAATAACATGTCTACTGTATAATAACACGTCTCTGTACTGACCCCTGTCTACTGTATAATAACATGTCTCTGTACTGACCCCTGTCTACTGTATAATAACATGTCTCTGTACTGACCCCTGTCTACTGTATAATAACATGTCTCTGTACTGACCCCCTGTCTACTGTATAATAACATGTCTCTGTACTGACCCCTGTCTACTGTAATAACATGTCTACTGTATAATAACATGTCTCTGTACTGACCCCTGTCTACTGTATAATAACATGTCTCTGTACTGACCCCTGTCTACTGTATAATAACATGTCTACTGTATAATAACATGTCTCTGTACTGACCCCTGTCTACTGTAAAATAACACGTCTCTGTACTGACCCCTGTCTACTGTATAATAACAAGTCTCTGGACTGACCCCTGTTTACTGTATAATAACATGTCTACTGTATAATAACATGTCTACTGTATAATAACATGCCTCTGGACTGACCCCTGTCTACTGTATAATAACATGTGTACTGTATAATAACACGTCTCTGTACTGACCCCTGTCTACTGTATAATAACATGTGTACTGTATAATAACACGTCTCTGGACTGACCCCTGTCTACTGTATAATAACATGTCTACTGTATAATAACATGCCTCTGGACTGACCCCTGTCTACTGTATAATAACATGTGTACTGTATAATAACACGTCTCTGGACTGACCCCTGTCTACTGTATAATAACATGTCTACTGTATAATAACATGTCTCTGTACTGACCCCTGTCTACTGTATAATAACATGTCTCTGTACTGACCCCTGTCTACTGTATAATAAAATGTATCTGGACTGACCCCTGTCTACTGTATAATAACATGTCTCTGGACTGACCCCTGTCTACTGTATAATAACAAGTCTCTGTACTGACCCCTGTCTACTGTATAATAACAAGTCTCTGGACTGACCCCTGTCTACTGTAAAATAACATGTCTCTGTACTGACCCCTGTCTACTGTATAATAACATGTCTCTGTACTGACCCCTGTCTACTGTATAATAACAAGTCTCTGGACTGACCCCTGTCTACTGTATAATAACATGTCTACTGTATAATAACATGTCTCTGTACTGACCCCTGTCTACTGTAAAATAACACGTCTCTGTACTGACCCCTGTCTACTGTATAATAACACATCTCTGTACTGACCCCTGTCTACTGTATAATAACATGTCTACTGTATAATAACATGTCTCTGTACTGACCCCTGTCTACTGTAAAATAACACGTCTCTGTACTGACCCCTGTCTACTGTATAATAACACGTCTCTGGACTGACCCCTGTCTACTGTATAATAATGTCTACTGTATAATAACATGTCTACTGTATAATAACATGCCTCTGGACTGACCCCTGTCTACTGTATAATAACATGTGTACTGTATAATAACACGTCTCTGGACTGACCCCTGTCTACTGTATAATAACATGTCTACTGTATAATAACACGTCTCTGGACTGACCCCTGTCTACTGTATAATAACATGTCTCTGGACTGACCCCTGTCTACTGTATAATAACATGTCTACTGTATTGACCCCTGTCTACTGTATAATAACATGTCTCTGTACTGACCCCTGTCTACTGTATAATAACACGTCTCTGGACTGACCCCTGTCTACTGTATAATAACATGTGTACTGTATAATAACACGTCTCTGGACTGACCCCTGTCTACTGTATAATAACATGTCTACTGTATAATAACATGTCTCTGTACTGACCCCTGTCTACTGTAAAATAACACGTCTCTGTACTGACCCCTGTCTACTGTATAATAACATGTCTCTGTACTGACCCCTGTCTACTGTAAAATAACACGTCTCTGTACTGACCCCTGTCTACTGTATAATAACAAGTCTCTGGACTGACCCCTGTTTACTGTATAATAACATGTCTACTGTAAAATAACACGTCTCTGTACTGACCCCTGTCTACTGTATAATAACACGTCTCTGGACTGACCCCTGTCTACTGTATAATAACATGTCTACTGTATAATAACATGTCTCTGTACTGACCCCTGTCTACTGTAAAATAACACGTCTCTGTACTGACCCCTGTCTACTGTATAATAACATGTCTCTGTACTGACCCCTGTCTACTGTAAAATAACACGTCTCTGTACTGACCCCTGTCTACTGTATAATAACAAGTCTCTGGACTGACCCCTGTTTACTGTATAATAACATGTCTACTGTAAAATAACACGTCTCTGTACTGACCCCTGTCTACTGTAAAATAACACGTCTCTGTACTGACCCCTGTCTACTGTAAAATAACACGTCTCTGTACTGACCCCTGTCTACTGTAAAATAACACGTCTCTGTACTGACCCCTGTCTACTGTATAATAACACGTCTCTGTACTGACCCCTGTCTACTGTATAATAACATGTCTCTGTACTGACCCCTGTCTACTGTATAATAACATGTCTCTGTACTGACCCCTGTCTACTGTATAATAACACGTCTCTGTACTGACCCCTGTCTACTGTATAATAACACGTCTCTGGACCGACCCCTGTCTACTGTATAATAACATGTCTCTGTACTGACCCCTGTCTACTGTATAATAACACGTCTCTGGACTGACCCCTGTCTACTGTATAATAACATGTCTACTGTATAATAACATGTCTCTGTACTGACCCCTGTCTACTGTATAATAACATGTCTACTGTATAATAACATGTCTCTGTACTGACCCCTGTCTACTGTATAATAACACGTCTCTGTACTGACCCCTGTCTACTGTATAATTTTACATTTTACATTTACGTAATTCATGTCTCTGTACTGACCTCTGTCTACTGTATAATAACATGTCTACTGTATAATAATATGTCTCTGTACTGACCCCTGTCTACTGTATAATAACATGTCTACTGTATAATAACATGTCTCTGTACTGACCCCTGTCTACTGTATAATAACATGTCTCTGTACTGACCCCTGTCTACTGTATAATAACATGTCTCTGTACTGACCCCTGTCTACTGTATAATAACACGTCTCTGTACTGACCCCTGTCTACTGTATAATAACATGTCTCTGTACTGACCCCTGTCTACTGTATAATAACATGTCTCTGTACTGACCCCTGTCTACTGTATAATAACATGTCTCTGTACTGACCCCTGTCTACTGTATAATAACATGTCTCTGTACTGACCCCTGTCTACTGTATAATAACATGTCTCTGTACTGACCCCTGTCTACTGTATAATAACACGTCTCTGGACTGACCCCTGTCTACTGTATAATAACACGTCTCTGGACTGACCCCTGTCTACTGTATAATAACACGTCTCTGTACTGACCCCTGTCTACTGTATAATAACACGTCTCTGTACTGAACCCCTGTCTACTGTATAATAACATGTCTCTGTACTGACCCCTGTCTACTGTATAATAACATGTCTCTGTACTGACCCCTGTCTACTGTATAATAACATGTCTCTGTACTGACCCCTGTCTACTGTATAATAACATGTCTACTGTATAATAACATGTCTCTGTACTGACCCCTGTCTACTGTATAATAACATGTCTACTGTATAATAACATGTCTACTGTATGATAACATGTCTCTGTACTGACCCCTGTCTACTGTATAATAACATGTCTACTGTATAATAACATGTCTCTGTACTGACCCCTGTTTACTGTATAATAACATGTCTACTGTATAATAACACGTCTCTGGACTGACCCCTGTCTACTGTATAATAACATGTCTACTGTATAATAACATGTCTACTGTATAATAACATGTCTCTGTACTGACCCCTGTCTACTGTATAATAACATGTCTCTGGACTGACCCCTGTCTACTGTATAATAACATGTCTCTGTACTGACCCCTGTCTACTGTATAATAACATGTCTCTGTACTGACCCCTGTCTACTGTATAATAACACGTCTCTGGACTGACCCCTGTCTACTGTATAATAATATGTCTCTGTACTGACCCATGTCTACTGTATAATAACATGTCTCTTGGACTGGACCCCTGTCTACTGTATAATAACACGTCTCTGGACTGACCCGTCTACTGTATAATAATGTCTTACTTGTATAATACACGTCTCTGTACTGACCCCTGTCTACTGTATAATACATGTCTCTGTACTGACCCCTGTCTACTGTATAATAACATGTTCTCTGTACTGAAACCCCTGTCTACTGTATAATAACACGTCTCTGTACTGACCCCTGTCTACTGTATAATAACACGTCTCTGTACTGACCCCTGTCTACTGTATAATAAACACGTCTCTGTACTGACCCCTGTCTAACTGTATAATAAACGTCTCTGTACTGACCCTGTCTACTGTATAATAACAGGTCTCTGTACTGACCCCTGTCTACTGTATAATAACATGTCTCTGTACTGACCCCGTCTACTGTATAATACATGTCTCTGTACTGACCCCTGTCTACTGTATAATACATGTCTCTGTACTGACCCCCTGTCTACTGTATAATAAACATGTCTCTGTACTGACCCCTGTCTACTGTATAATAACATGTTCGGCTGACCCCTGTCTACTGATAATAACATGTCTCTGACTGACCCCTGTCTACTGTATAATAACATGTCTTTACTGACCCCTTCTACTGTATAATACAGTCTCTGTACTGACCCCTGTCTACTGTATAATAACAGTCTCTGTACTGACCCCTGTCTACTGTATAATAACAGTCTCTGTACTGACCCCTGTCTACTGTATAATAACATGTCTCTGGACTGACCCTGTCTACTGTATAATAACATGTCTCTGTACTGACCCCTGTCTACTGTATAAATACATGTCTCTGGACTGACCCCTGTACGTACTTCTACTGTATAATAAGACTGTCTCTGGACTGACCCCTGTCTACTGTATAATAACAGTCTCTGTACTGACCCCTGTCTACTGTATAATAACATGTCTCTGTACTGACCCCTGTCTACTGTAAAATAACATGTCTCTGTACTGACCCCTGTCTACTGTATAATAACATGTCTCTGTACTGACCCCTGTCTACTGTATAATAACATGTCTCTGTACTGACCCCTGTCTACTGTATAATAACATGTCTACTGTATAATAACATGTCTCTGTACTGACCCCTGTCTACTGTATAATAACATGTCTACTGTATAATAACATGTCTCTGTACTGACCCCTGTTTACTGTATAATAACATGTCTACTGTATAATAACACGTCTCTGGACTGACCCCTGTCTACTGTATAATAACATGTCTACTGTATAATAACACGTCTCTGGACTGACCCCTGTCTACTGTATAATAACATGTCTACTGTATAATAACATGTCTACTGTATAATAACATGTCTCTGTACTGACCCCTGTCTACTGTATAATAACATGTCTCTGTACTGACCCCTGTCTACTGTAAGCTCAGTTGTAGCTCAGTTGGTAGAGCATGGCGTTTGCAACGCCAGGGTTGTGGGTTCGATAAAATAATGTATGTGCTAACTGTAAGTCGCTCTGGATAAGAGCGTCTGCTAAAAATGACTAAAATGTAAAAAAAAAATGTAAAAAAAAATAACACGTCTCTGTACTGACCCCTGTCTACTGTATAATAACATGTCTCTGTACTGACCCCTGTCTACTGTATAATAACATGTCTCTGGACTGACCCCTGTCTACTGTATAATAACATGTCTCTGTACTGACCCCTGTCTACTGTATAATAACATGTCTCTGGACTGACCCCTGTCTACTGTATAATAACATGTCTACTGTATAATAACACGTCTCTGTACTGACCCCTGTCTACTGTATAATAACATGTCTCTGTACTGACCCCTGTCTACTGTATAATAACATGTCTCTGGACTGACCCCTGTCTACTGTATAATAACATGTCTCTGTACTGACCCCTGTCTACTGTATAATAACATGTCTCTGGACTGACCCCTGTCTACTGTATAATAACATGTCTACTGTATAATAAGACGTCTCTGGACTGACCCCTGTCTACTGTATAATAACAAGTCTCTGTACTGACCCCTGTCTACTGTATAATAACACGTCTCTGTACTGACCCCTGTCTACTGTATAATAACACGTCTCTGTACTGACCCCTGTCTACTCTGTAGTCCTTCATCTCTCTCCATGTATCTCTGTTTCTACTGTAGCAGTAGTCCTTCATCTCTCTCCATGTATCTCTGTTTCTACTGTAGCAGTAGTCCTTCATCTCTCTCCATGTATCTCTGTTCCTACTGTAGCAGTAGTCCTTCATCTCTCTCCATGTATCTCTGCACCTACTGTAGCAGTAGTCCTTCATCTCTCTCCATGTATATCTGTTCCTACTGTAGCAGTAGTCCATCTCTCTCCATGTATCTCTGTTTCTACTGTAGCAGTAGTCCTTCATCTCTCTCCATGTATCTCTGTACCTACTGTAGCAGTAGTCCTTCATCTCTCTCCATGTATCTCTGTTCCTACTGTAGTAGTAGTCCATCTCTCTCCATGTATCTCTGCACCTACTGTAGCAGTAGTCCTTCATCTCTCTCCATGTATATCTGTTCCTACTGTAGCAGTAGTCCATCTCTCTCCATGTATCTCTGTTTCTACTGTAGCTGTAGTCCTTCATCTCTCTCCATGTATCTCTGTTTCTACTGTAGCTGTAGTCCTTCATCTCTCTCCATGTATCTCTGCACCTACTGTAGCAGTAGTCCTTCATCTCTCTCCATGTATCTCTGTACCTACTGTAGCAGTAGTCCTTCATCTCTCTCCATGTATCTCTGTTCCTACTGTAGTAGTAGTCCATCTCTCTCCATGTATCTCTGTTTCTACTGTAGCAGTAGTCCTTCATCTCTCTCCATGTATCTCTGTTTCTACTGTAGCAGTAGTCCTTCATCTCTCTCTCCATGTATCTCTTTGTGTATTGATGTGTTAATTCACCTTTTTACAGTGGGCTACAGAGACTATCCCTGGACATCCAGATACTCTGTTCTGTACATCGACAATCCAGTACGTATGAATGGCTTCTACTTCCTCACTGAATGAATGTACAGTATGAACACAGTTTGATTGCATCCCATCTGGCACCGTATTCCCTTTTTATAGTGCACTACTTTTGACCAGGTCCTCTGGTCAAAAGAAGTGCACTAAATAGGGAATAGGGTGCCATTTAGGACTCAGCCAGAGTGTTACGTCTGTATCTGACAGGTTTGATTTGGTGTCTTGGCTGCTTTAATAGCTTGCTCTACAAAATGTGTGTAATGTTACCTAATAGCATGTACAGTATGTGACTATAATGTAATGTTACCTAATAGCATGTACAGTATGTGACTATAATGTAATGTTACCTAATAGCATGTACAGTATGTGACTATAATGTAATGTTACCTAATAGCATGTACAGTATGTGACTATAATGTAATGTTACCTAATAGCATGTACAGTATGTGACTATAATGTAATGTTACCTAATAGCATGTACAGTATGTGACTATAATGTAATGTTACCTAATAGCATGTACAGTATGTGACTATAATGTAATGTTACCTAATAGCATGTACAGTATGTGACTATAATGTAATGTTACCTAATAGCATGTACAGTATGTGACTATAATGTAATGTTACCTAATAGCATGTACAGTATGTGACTATAATGTAATGTTACCTAATAGCATGTACAGTATGTGACTATAATGTAATGTTACCTAATAGCATGTACAGTATGTGACTATAATGTAATGTTACCTAATAGCATGTACAGTATGTGACTATAATGTAATGTTACCTAATAGCATGTACAGTATGTGACTATAATGTAATGTTACCTAATAGCATGTACAGTATGTGACTATAATGTAATGTTACCTAATAGCATGTACAGTATGTGACTATAATGTATGTTACCTAATAGCATGTACAGTATGTGACTTAATGTAATGTTACCTAATAGCATGTACAGTATGTGACTATAATGTAATGTTACCTAATAGCATGTACAGTATGTGACTATAATGTAATGTTACCTAATAGCATGTACAGTATGTGACTATAATGTAATGTTACCTAATAGCATGTACAGTATGTGACTATAATGTAATGTTACCTAATAGCATGTACAGTATGTGACTATAATGTAATGTTACCTAATAGCATGTACAGTATGTGACTATAATGTAATGTTACCTAATAGCATGTACAGTATGTGACTATAATGTAATGTTACCTAATAGCATGTACAGTATGTGATTGTAATGTCAGCTGTGTGTTTTCTTGTCCAGGTAGGAACAGGGTTCAGTTTCACTGATGATGACCGAGGCTTTGCTCAGAACCAGGATGATGTGGGTAGAGATCTGTACAGGTAAGACTGATCACTGAGGTTCTGGGCACAGTAGGCAGTATTTACACAGACAATTGCTCTTTTGACCAATCAGATCAGCTCTTTTGCCAATACTAATGGTCAAAATATCAGAATTGAGCTGCCTGTGTAAATGCAGCCTTATAGATGCACAGATTACAATATCATTATATCATATCGATGTGGTTCCTGAGATGGTAAACACTTCTCTAAGCATTGTGAAGATCTGATGATCTGGAACACGCCCATGGTCTCTGCTCAGTATACATCTAGGACCTTGGTTCTGTCACGTGTGGCACTGATTGTTTTCTCATTGTGTCTTTGTTCAGTGCATTGACTCAGTTCTTCCAGATCTTCCCTGAGTATCAGTCCAATGACTTCTACGCTACAGGAGAGGTGAGTTTGGTGCTGGTCCCCACATCTGTGTTACACACAACATTACACTACATCCTAGTTGGCAAATTCCCCAAAACCTAGCTATAAAGACATCTGCTTTGTATTCCGTTTTCTGACGTTGAACAAGGTCTTACAATTGTTATTTGAGGGTCTTTGCTATAGAATAATATTTCCACATAAAATTGCAATTACATTCTGCAATCAGAAAAACAGACCCTGAAACTGATTGGAATTCTCCTCAGTCCTATGCAGGAAAGTATGTCCCAGCCATTGGTTACTACATCCATAAACACAACCCCATTGCTAAGGTGAAGATCAACTTCAAGGGGGTTGCCATCGGAGACGGCCTCTGTGACCCAGAGCTGGTGGGTTGTGTTTTAATATACCGTTATTTCAACTTTACTCAGCATTGTTTGACACTTGTTTGACACTTCTGATGAATATGAAATATATCAGTAATATAATTGAAGATATAATAATATATCTCCAGGAGGAAAAAAAACAATCTTTCCTTCTTTGTTTGTTCTCCATTTGCTCTTTCCCTTGGTCTCACTTGTTCTGACTTTCTCTCTCTCTCTTTCACTCTCTCTCTCAGATGCTGGGAGGGTATGGAGACTTCCTGTACCAGACAGGTCTGATAGATATGCTCCAGAAGCAGTATGTTGAGCAGCAGACAGCCAACGGGGTGCAGCTCATCCAGCAGGAGAAATGGGTGGAGGCTTTTGAAGTAAGACACTGACTGGGCATCTGCTGTCGCAATAACCTGTGTGTTTTTGTTGTCCACTCCACATATCTGAATGTCTTGTCAGTCATTCTGTCAAGCCCTCCAACCTCCTGGTACATTCTTCCACTGTCCTCTTGACCTGCAGGTATTTGACAGCTTGCTGAACGGTGACATTCTGCCGTACCCCTCGTTCTTCCAGAACGCCACTGGCTGCACCAACTACTTCAACTACTTGCAGTGTCGGGTAGGTACACACAGAGCAAGGCTTACACAGACACCTAACTGTTTGAATAAAGGTTCTGTTATATTACCCAGAGAAGGTATATTTCCTGAAGAAAATTGTCTGCTAACAAGGCTTACACACAGATGCATGGTTTAATTAAAGGTTAGATACAGCCCTCCTGTAGCTCAGTTGGTAGAGCATGGTGCTTGCAATGCCAGGGTTGTGGGTTCGATTCCCACGTGGGGCCAGTATGAAAATTGTATGCACTCACTAACTGTAAGTCGCTCTGGATAAGAGCTTCTGCTAAATGACTAAGATTTAAAATAATTATGTTGTGGTTCTCTGTGCTATAGGAGCCTGCAGACCAGGAGTATTTCTCCCAGTTTGTGACGCTGGCGGAGGTGCGGCGCTCCATCCACGTGGGGAACCTGACGTTCCACGACGGCTCAGAGGTGGAGAAACACCTGCTGCAGGACGTCATGAAGAGCATCAAACCCTGGCTCGCCACACTCATGGACAACTACAGGGTGAGACTAGAGTCAATACCCATATCCATCTAGCACCCAAACATGCTAAGGTCATATTAGTAGCACAGCTATATAATATATGCCATTTAGCAGATGCTTTTATCCAAAGACACTGATGCGTGCATACATTTTATGTATGGGTAGCCCCGGGAATCGAACCCATAATCCTTGCGTTGCAAACGGCATGCTCTACCAACTGAGCCATGGTTTAACTTTGGTTCGCAGTATCGGTTACTAGCTACAGTATCAGTTACTAGCTACAGTATCAGTTACTAGCTACAGTATCGGTTACTAGCTACAGTATTGGTTACTAGCTACAGTGTCAGTTACTAGCTACAGTATCGGTTATTAGCTACAGTATCGGTTACTAGCTACAGTATCGGTTACTAGCTACAGTATCGGTTACTAGCTACAGTATACCACTAGCTACAGTATCAGTTACTAGCTACAGTATCAGTCACTAGCTACAGTATCGGTTACTAGCTACAGTATCGGTTACTAGCTACAGTATATCACTAACTACAGTATCAGTTACTAGCTACAGTATCCGTTACTAGCTACAGTATACCACTAACTACAGTATCAGTCACTAACTACAGTATCAGTCACTAGCTACAGTATAGGACTAGCTACAGTATCAGTTACTAGCTACAGTATCAGTCACTAGCTACAGTATCAGTTACTAGCTACAGTATCAGTTACTAGCTACAGTATCAGTTACTAGCTACAGTATCAGTCACTAGCTACAGTATCAGTCACTAGCTACAGTATAGCACTAACTGCAGTATCAGTTACTAGCTACAGTATCAGTCACTAGCTACAGTATCAGTCACTAGCTACAGTATAGCACTAACTACAGTACTGTTACTAGCTATAGTATATTTATAACTACAGTATCAGTCACTAGCAACAGTATCAGTTACTAACTACAGTATCAGTCACTAGCTACAGTATCAGTCACTAGCTACAGTATCAGTCACTAGCTACAGTATCAGTCACTAGCTACAGTGTAGCACTAACTGCAGTATCAGTTACTAGCTACAGTATCAGTCACTAGCTACAGTATCAGTCACTAGCTACAGTATAGCACTAACTACAGTACTGTTACTAACTACAGTATATCACTAACTACAGTATCATTCACTAGCTACAGTATCAGTTACTAACTACAGTATCAGTCACTAACTACAGTATCAGTCACTAGCTACAGTATCAGTCACTAACTACAGTATCAGTCACTAGCTACAGTATATCACTAACTACAGTATCAGTTACTAGCTACAGTATATTACTAACTACAGTATCAGTCACTAGCTACAGTATATCACTAACTACAGTATCAGTTACTAACGACAGTATCAGTCACTAGCTACAGTATAAGTCACTAACTACAGTATCAGTCACTAGCTACAGTATAAGTCACTAACTACAGTATCAGTCACTAGCTACAGTATATCACTAACTACAGTATCAGTTACTAGCTACAGTATATTACTAACTACAGTATCAGTCACTAGCTACAGTATATTACTAACTACAGTATCAGTCACTAGCTACAGTATATCACTAACTACAGTATCAGTCACTAGCTACAGTATCAGTCACTAGCTACAATATAACACTAACTACAGTATCAGTCACTAGCTACAGTATATCACTAACTACAGTATCAGTCACTATCTACAGTATATCACTAACTACAGTATCAGTCACTAGCTACAGTATATTACTAACTACAGTATCAGTCACTAGCTACAGTATATCACTAACTACAGTATCAGTCACTAGCTACAGTATATCACTAACTACAGTATCAGTCACTAGCTACAGTATATTACTAACTACAGTATCAGTTACTAGCTACAGTATATTACTAACTACAGTATCAGTCACTAGCTACAGTATATTACTAACTACAGTATCAGTCACTAGCTACAGTATATTACTAACTACAGTATCAGTCACTAGCTACAGTATATTACTAACTACAGTATCAGTCACTAGCTACAGTATATCACTAACTACAGTATCAGTCACTAGCTACAGTATATCACTAACTACAGTATCAGTCACTAGCTACAGTATATCACTAACTACAGTATCAGTCACTAGCTACAGTATATCACTAACTACAGTATCAGTCACTAGCTACAGTATAATACTAACTACAGTATCAGTCACTAGCTACAGTATATCACTAGCTACAGTATCAGTCACTAACTACAGTATCAGTCACTAGCTACAGTATATTACTAACTACAGTATCAGTCACTAGCTACAGTATATCACTAACTACAGTATCAGTCACTAGCTACAGTATATCACTAACTACAGTATCAGTCACTAGCTACAGTATATTACTAACTACAGTATCAGTCGCTAACTACAGTATACCACTAACTACAGTATCAGTCACTAGCTACAGTATATCACTAACTACAGTATCAGTCACTAGCTACAGTATATTACTAACTACAGTATCAGTCGCTAACTACAGTATATCACTAACTACAGTATCAGTCACTAACTACAGTATCAGTCACTAGCTACAGTATATCACTAACTACAGTATCATTCACTAGCTACAGTATATCACTAACTACAGTATCAGTTACTAGCTACAATATAACACTAACTACAGTATCAGTCACTAGCTACAGTATATTACTAACTACAGTATCAGTCACTAGCTACAGTATATCACTAACTACAGTATCAGTAACTAGCTACAATATATCACTAACTACAGTATCAGTCACTAGCTACAGTATATCACTAACTACAGTATCAGTCACTAGCTACAGTATATCACTAACTACAGTATCAGTCACTAGCTACAGTATATTACTAACTACAGTATCAGTCACTAGCTACAGTATATCACTAACTACAGTATCAGTCACTAGCTACAGTATATCACTAACTACAGTATCAGTCACTAGCTACAGTATATTACTAACTACAGTATCAGTCGCTAACTACAGTATCAGTCACTAGCTACAGTATATCACTAACTACAGTATCAGTCACTAGCTACAGTATATTACTAACTACACTGTAGTTAGTAATATACTGTAGCTAGTGACTGATACTGTAGTTAGTGACTGATACTGTAGTTAGTGACTGATACTGTAGTTAGTGATATACTGTAGTTAGCGACTGATACTGTAGTTACTACAGTATCAGTCGCTAACTACAGTATATCACTAACTACAGTATCAGTCACTAACTACAGTATCAGTCACTAGCTACAGTATATCACTAACTACAGTATCATTCACTAGCTACAGTATATCACTAACTACAGTATCAGTTACTAGCTACAATATAACACTAACTACAGTATCAGTCACTAGCTACAGTATATCACTAACTACAGTATCAGTCACTAGCTACAGTATATCACTAACTACAGTATCAGTCACTAGCTACAGTATATTACTAACTACAGTATCAGGCACTAGCTACAGTATATCACTAACTACAGTATCAGTAACTAGCTACAGTATATAACTAACAACAGTATCAGTCACTAGCTACAGTATATCACTAGCAACAGTATCAGTCACTAACTACAGTATCAGTCACTAGCTACAGTATCAGTCACTAACTACAGTATCAGTCACTAGCTACAGTATATTACTAACTACAGTATCAGGCACTAGCTACAGTATATCACTAACTACAGTATCAGTCACTAGCTACAGTATATCACTAACTACAGTATCAGTCACTAGCTACAGTATATTACTAACTACAGTATCAGTCACTAGCTACAGTATCAGTCACTAACTACAGTATCAGTCACTAGCTACAGTATATTACTAACTACAGTATCAGTCACTAGCTACAGTATATCACTAACTACAGTATCAGTCACTAGCTACAGTATATCACTAACTACAGTATCAGTCACTAGCTACAGTATATTACTAACTACAGTATCAGTCGCTAACTACAGTATCAGTCACTAGCTACAGTATATCACTAACTACAGTATCAGTCACTAGCTACAGTATATAACTAACAACAGTATCAGTCACTAGCTACAGTATATCACTAGCAACAGTATCAGTCACTAACTACAGTATCAGTCACTAGCTACAGTATCAGTCACTAACTACAGTATCAGTCACTAGCTACAGTATATTACTAACTACAGTATCAGGCACTAGCTACAGTATATCACTAACTACAGTATCAGTCACTAGCTACAGTATATCACTAACTACAGTATCAGTCACTAGCTACAGTATATAACTAACAACAGTATCAGTCACTAGCTACAGTAAAGCACTAGCTACAGTATCAGTCACTAACTACAGTATCAGTAACTAGCTACAGTATATTACTAACTACAGTATCAGTCACTAGCTACAGTATATTACTAACTACAGTATCAGTCACTAGCTACAGTATATCACTAACTACAGTATCAGTTACTAGCTACAGTATATCACTAACTACAGTATCAGTCACTAGCTACAGTATATCACTAGCTACAGTATCAGTCACTAACGACAGTATCAGTCACTAGCTACAGTATATTACTAACTACAGTATATCACTAACTACAGTATCAGTTACTAGTTACAGTATATTACTAACTACAGTATCAGTCACTAGCTACAGTATATCACTAACTACAGTATCAGTCACTAGCTACAGTATATCACTAACTACAGTATCAGTCACTAGCTACAGTATATCACTAACTACAGTATCAGTCACTAGCTACAGTATATTACTAACTACAGTATCAGTCACTAACTACAGTATATCACTAACTACAGTATCAGTTACTAGCTACAGTATATCACTAACTACAGTATCAGTCACTAGCTATAGTATATCACTAACTACAGTATCAGTCACTAGCTACAGTATATCACTAACTACAGTATCAGTCACTAGCTACAGTATATCACTAACTACAGTATCAGTCACTAGCTACAGTATATCACTAACTACAGTATCAGTCACTAGCTACAGTATATCACTAACTACAGTATCAGTCACTAGCTACAGTATATCACTAACTACAGTATCAGTCACTAGCTACAGTATATTACTAACTACAGTATCAGTCACTAACTACAGTATATCACTAACTACAGTATCAGTTGCTAACTACAGTATATTACTAACTACAGTATCAGTCACTAGCTACAGTATACCACTAACTACAGTATCAGTCACTAGCTACAGTATATCACTAACTACAGTATCAGTCACTAGCTACAGTATATTGCTAGCTACAGTATCATTCACTAACTACAGTATATTACTAACTACAGTATCAGTCACTAGCTACAGTATATTACTAACTACAGTATCAGTCACTAGCTACAGTATATCACTAACTACAGTATCAGTCACTAGCTACAGTATATCACTAACTACAGTATCAGTCACTAGCTACAGTATATAACTAACTACAGTATCAGTCACTAGCTACAGTATATCACTAACTACAGTATCAGTCGCTAACTACCGTATCAGTCGCTAACTACAGTATATATCACTAACTACAGTATCAGTCACTAACTACAGTATATCACTAACTACAGTATCAGTCGCTAACTACAGTATCAGTCGCTAACTACAGTATATCACTAACTACAGTATCAGTCACTAGCTACAGTATATAACTAACAACAGTATCAGTCACTAGCTACAGTATATTACTAACTACAGTATCAGTCGCTAACTACAGTATCAGTTACTAGCTACAGTATCAGTTGCTAACTACAGTATCAGTTGCTAACTACAGTATATTACTAACTACAGTATCAGTCGCTAACTCCTCTCCTCATCTATTTAGAAAGACTAGTTGATTGTTTGGACCACTATACTGTAATCATTTAATAAATGCCTTATCTCTTTCTTCTGTACACACACACACACACACACACACACACACACACACACACACACACACACACACACACACACACACAGGTGTTGATCTACAGTGGTCAGCTGGATGTGATTGTGGCGGCCCCACTGACCGAGAGGTTCCTGCCCACGGTGAACTGGACCGGGGCTGATGAGTTCAACAAAGCCCCTCGCTTCCATTGGAAGATCCAGCCAGAGGACACAGAGGTGGCTGGATACGTACGCCAAGTAGGAGAATTCTACCAGGTGAGTACTGCATGTCTGTCCAGGACTTTACTGGGTATTCAGGGCATTTGGCCAACCTTTAAAATGTTAACATAGCATAACTAAACATAATGTGAGTCATTTAGCAGTAGCTCTCATGCAGAGCGCCTTAGTCAGTGCAATCAACTAAGTTTAGGAGGAAAAAACAACAACCATGTGACAGTTATTGCAAGTAGAGTCTTATTCAAAATCGCTGTTATGAGCAGAATCAGTGCCAGGAAGATAAGATCAACTTTATGGACACCAAGTTTGTAACACAGTGCTCCTGATGGGCAAACTGAACATGACCGGGACCATCCCCTGACCACTGGTTCACGTGCTAAACCTGTCTGACTGTCTGTTTGTCTCCTTGTCATGCAGGTGATTATACGAGGGGGAGGGCACATACTACCGTACGACCAACCAGAGAGGTCCTTTGATATGATTGACAGATTCCTCTCAACACAGGGATTTATTTGAGTTGGCGGAACTGAGCAGGAACACAGTTGATCTGAGTTCCTCCACTTTTGATTAGGTGTGTCTCCAGATTCCCAGTGGATGTTTATTTCAAACACTATTGATTAGCAAGTTAGTAACCATGGAAAGCTAATTATATGTGGTAGAGGTCTATCACCTAGAAAATATTAAATGTAATGGATACAAACGTTTGGACAGCTAAGCTGCCTTCATCAGGGTTTAATGACCTCCTAAATCCTACTTTAACCATCAGATTGTGACTGATCTCTGATGCACTGCCAATGAATTCTCATGTTTGCTATTCTGTGGATCCGTCAAAATGAATATTTTGCTGTTTTTTGACAGTGGGGAATAATGATTTATGTTGCACATGATCAATATATTTTTCATGAAGAGGTTGGCATGCAATGCAATTGTAATAAAAATAAATGAAACAAACATGGGCACGTCAACAAGTTCCATGGAGGAACACCAGAGGGCGCTAGTGTTTGAAATACTGTAAATGCCTAGCGGTATTGTCCCTTGTAAATGCGACAAAGTTACTCAAAGAATATATATAATTTCTCTTATAAAACTTTAGTAAAAAGTTCCACTATCCAACTTCAGATAATGACTAAGGCCTTTTTATCTACATGTCAATGAATTCAGTCATACACGAGCATGCTGTTTAATCAAAAATAACAATTCAACTATGAATAGGCTGCAATACCTGCCTCTGTTAAGATAATAGTAGGTACTACATTTAACATTTTAGTCATTTAGCAGACGCTCTTATCCAGAGCAACTTACAGTTAGTGCGTGCATACATTTTCGTACTACTAAGAGACAACTCCATAACCTTTACAGACAATTATGGCAGCCTGTTTAGAAAGTACTAAACAGTAACAGATAAACAGGCTGAAATGATAATCTAGTGGTTTTGGCATTGAGATGAAGTCTACTCCTTGCTCTGTCACGTACCAAGGCAAACCACCATGCTACTTATTATCTCATTAACTTCAAGTAAGTAGTCTAGACATCTCAATATTTACTGATGGTTTTAGAACATTTAAACCTATAACTATTTAATGAGCAATCAATGTTCAGGGCTTTGTATTGGAAGCCCATGTGGATTATTGGTCAGTGACTAGTTGCTGAATCCTTAGGCCTACCTATTCAGGACATTTATCCCTTCCCACATATTCACACACATCCTATACACAGTACAGCAGGGGTAGGCAACCCTGTTCCTGGAACGCCGCGGGTACTACATGGTTTTGTTCCAACTAGGCACCACACCTGACCAATTGAGCTAATTGATCAGTTCAGTGATTGCCTAAATTCAACACACCTGTCCTTCCAGGTAGGTTAAATTAAAAAAATGAATAACCTGCAGCACTCCAGGACCAGGGTTGCCTACCCCTGCAGTACAGTATCATTAACACATTATCTATATGCGTTTACACTGAGTATACAAAACATTAAGAACACCTGCTCTATCCATGACATTGACTGACCAGGTGAATCCAGGTGAAAGCTATGATCCCTTATTGATGTCACTTGTTAAATCCACTTCAACTCAGATGAAGGGGAGGAGACAGGTTAAAGAAGGATTTTTAAGCCTTGATACAACTGAAACATGGATTGTGTATGTGTGCCATTCAGAGGGTGAATGGGCAAGACAAAAAATGTAAGTGCCTTTGAACGGGTTATGGTAGTAGGTGCCAGGCGCTCCGGTTTGTGTCAAGAACGGCAACGTTGCTGAGTTTTTCACGCTCAACAGTGTCCCATGTGTATTGAGAATGGTCCACCACCCAAAGGACATCCAGCCAACTTGACACAACTGTTTGATGCATTGGAGTCAACATGGGCCAGCATCCCTGTGGAACGCTTTCGACACCTTGACAAGTATATGCCCCGACGAATTAAGGCTGTTCTGAGGGCAAAATGATTAAGAAGGTGTTCCAAATGTTTGGTATACTCAGTGTGTCTTAAATTCCATCATAATATCTCTCCTTGCTATATGAACACAATATCCCATATCTGTTTAGTTTTTTTGTGTAAAGACCACATTATTGTCATCATCAATGTATGAAACACATTATTAAAAGTGTCTATGTGCTTATTTGCTGACAAAAAAAGGGGGGGTGGGGGGGTGCAACTATTTTAGTTTTTTTAGTCATTTAGCAGACGCTCTTATCCAGAGCAACTTACAGTTAGTGAGTGCATACATTTTCATACTGGCCCCCCCCCGTGGGAAACGAACCCACAACCCTGGCGTTGCAAGCGCCATGCTCTACCAACTGAGTTACAGGGGACTTGTTCTTAATGTACTCAGTGTATACCAGAGGAGGTTGGGGGGCACCTTCATTGGGGAGAACGGGCTTGTGGTAATGACTGGAGCTGAATAGGTGGAATGTGTTTGATGCCGTTCCAGCTATTGTTATGAGCCGTCCTCCCCTGGTATATATATCTAAGGTTATATGGCTTGTCTGTGCTTCAAAAGGCACATCAGAAGACATCTGAGTCCGCTGAGTAATGCTACAGAACAAGTGCTTTATTGTCCTACTGTGATATGTAACATCTGTACAACTGCTAAACAAAGCGCAGCAGACCATACAATATGCTGTGATGAGAGACACGAACGTGTACAAAGTTTTATGCAGGCAATTATGAATTCATCAATCCATTACGTATAATAAACCGTGGACATGTATCGAAGCGCAGAAACTAACCTTGACGAACATACAGGCTGCAAACAAGTGCTATGCAAACATCATTTACATACATGTACAAAACATCAAAGACTCCTTTCAAAAAGAAAGGTGGTTGCATTACATGTACAGTCAGGATTACAGAAATTAATGACATTCTATACAATATTTATAGTTTTATATTTAAAATGATACATTTATACTTGTGTTAATGTCCACACAGACACTCATACTGAACTCACTCACCTGTCTCTTATGTCTGCCTATAAAGTTAGATAAACAAATCTCTCTCTTCCTTATGCTTGATCTGCGTCTGTTAACTAGAACTACAGACTACTAGCTGTTATTCCAACAAAACATCTAACAACAATTCCAGTTGAATATGTTGAGGTCAATGCCATATATTCCACATGATGCAACAATTTATTTTTTTTCAGAACAGTTTAATACTCAAGTAGTTGGTGAAAGTAATAAGCCACAAGGTTTAGAAATTCAAAAGAAAATACAAAGTTGATGAAATAAGGCAAGCACTTTGTAGGTGTTAACCTGTTTGCAATACAGGGAAGCCCTTAATACATGTTGAACCTTTCATAAACTCAGTTATTCTCACACACATGCCCACACACCTCAAAACGACTGTCCAACCCTTTCTACAAAACCTTGGTGCAACACACTGGAGAAAGAGCGAGAGCATGTTTCCAGTTGACCTGATTCATGTAGTTCGCTACCTTCACAGTTAGCTACACTGGAGCTGCTGTATTAACAGACATCTGAAAGGTACATGCTTAAAGGAGCACCTTATGGAGTCCTATCATTAGGCATAGTCACTGCCATGCAGTCAGTCTCTCTACAGAGCAACAGTCAGTCAGTCAGTCTCTCTACAGATCAACAGTCAGTCAGTCAGTCTCTACAGAGCAACAGTCACTCAGTCAGTCTCTCTACAGAGCAACAGTCAGTCATCTCTCTACAGATCAACAGTCAGTCAGTCAGTCTCTACAGAGCAACAGTCACTCAGTCAGTCTCTCTACAGAGCAACAGTCACTCAGTCAGTCTCTCTACAGAGCAACAGTCAATCAGTCTCTCTACAGATCAACAGTCAGTCAGTCAGTCTCTACAGAGCAACAGTCACTCAGTCAGTCTCTCTACAGAGCAACAGTCACTCAGTCAGTCTCTCTACAGAGCAACAGTCAGTCATCTCTCTACAGATCAACAGTCACTCAGTCAGTCTCTCTACAGAGCAACAGTCACTCAGTCAGTCTCTCTACAGAGCAACAGTCAGTCATCTCTCTACAGAGCAACAGTCAGTCATCTCTCTACAGATCAACAGTCACTCAGTCAGTCTCTCTACAGAGCAACAGTCAGTCATCTCTCTACAGATCAACAGTCAGTCAGTCAGTCTCTCTACAGATCAACAGTCACTCAGTCAGTCTCTCTACAGAGCAACAGTCAGTCATCTCTCTACAGAGCAACAGTCAGTCATCTCTCTACAGATCAACAGTCAGTCAGTCAGTCTCTCTACAGATCAACAGTCAGTCAGTCAGTCTCTCTACAGATCAACAGTCACTCAGTCAGTCTCTCTACAGAGCAACAGTCAGTCATCTCTCTACAGAGCAACAGTCAGTCATCTCTCTACAGATCAACAGTCACTCAGTCAGTCTCTCTACAGATCAACAGTCACTCAGTCAGTCTCTCTACAGATCAACAGTCAGTCATCTCTCTACAGATCAACAGTCAGTCAGTCAGTCTCTACAGAGCAACAGTCACTCAGTCAGTCTCTCTACAGAGCAACAGTCACTCAGTCAGTCTCTCTACAGAGCAACAGTCAGTCATCTCTCTACAGATCAACAGTCACTCAGTCAGTCTCTCTACAGAGCAACAGTCACTCAGTCAGTCTCTCTACAGAGCAACAGTCACTCAGTCTCTCTACAGATCAACAGTCACTCAGTCAGTCTCTCTACAGAGCAACAGTCAGTCAGTCTCTCTACAGATCAACAGTCAGTCAGTCTCTACAGAGCAACAGTCAGTCAGTCATCTCTCTACAGATCAACAGTCAGTCAGTCTCTCTACAGATCAACAGTCAGTCAGTCAGTCTCTCTACAGATCAACAGTCAGTCAGTCTCTCTACAGAGCAACAGTCAGTCATCTCTCTACAGATCAACAGTCAGTCAGTTAGAGTCTCGCTGGTGTATTGAACTGGGCATCACTGAGACCTCAATATGGCTATTCTACCCTCTGGATATCACAAAGTGTCAAAGTGCATAGACAGCTACATGATTTCTCTCTACCTCACCTGCCTGTAGAGCTGGTTGGCTCACTCCTACTAAAGGATGTAGTCTAAGGTACAACTAGGATCAACATGTTCAGGGAAAGAATTACAGAGTAAAGTGGAGTGTCTCCCAGACACTGAGCTAAAGTCTGTTTAGAATCCCCCTCCGCTAATGGTTTAGGTTTGGATATGGGGAGGGTAAGCTGAACCTAGATGATCATTGTTAACTAAGGGGTGACTTGAGCAAGGATGACAGAGTTGTGGTCAAAACTAAAGTGAATATTGAGCTTTCCTACTGGTTAGGGCTGCTGGAAGATGTGTTGATGGAGCGCGCGCGCACACACACACACACACACACACACACACACACACACAGCGACATGTCAGCCTGTCTGTTGGAGCTGGGATGAAGAGGTCAGAGGTTAGATGGAAGGTCAGCCTTTTCCTCCCTGGTCAGTCTGCCAGCTGGTTTTGCCCTTACAGACTAAACTCCCGACAAAACACTGGTCCTCTGTAGCTCAGTTGGTAGAGCATGGCGCTTGCAACCACAGGATAGTGGGTTGGATTCCCGTGACCACCCATACATAAAGAATGTATGCATGCATGACTAAGTCGTTTTGAATAAAAGCCTAAAGCTAAATGGCATAATAAAACACAGTGTCCATCAACGCTACACTCACTGAGACTGGGGAAAACAATGTGTTATAAATGCTTGATAGCTCAATGGAAAAGTTAATGATGATTAAAAGGAATTTTAAACAATTGACATTCCCTTAATTGCATTTAGTAATAAAAGACTGAGAGAAGTTCAGGCACGTTGTGACGTTTTGGAAAGCATTCGGCTAAAACTGCTAAACCTCGTTAGAGATGGTAGTAAGACCTCTTCATGATAAAGGGATAGAAAGGCAACCAATCATTCTTTAACTGTCATACACAGACTGACAGTCAGACTACGGAAGCATGTAATCAATCAACGCTCTCATCTCATATCTCTCACTATATGTCACCTACAGTATGACAACCCCACCTGAGATATTGAGGCAGACAGAGGACAGCACAGGGCTCATACCTGGAATGTTCAGGTCATTTGGAATGTGCCGCTGATTTCGGAAGCCTGGCTGTAGCAACACTAGAACAACACTAAAGGAGATGTCTCTTCTTAAAGCTTTACTTGGTCCAGGAGAGTGGAGGAGACAGGGGTCAGCCTCCAGGAGAGTGGAGGTGTCAGGGGTCAGCCTCCAGGAGAGTAGAGGAGTCAGGGGTCAGGGGTCAGCCTCCAGGAGAGTGGAGGAGACAGGGGTCAGGGGTCAGCCTCCAGGAGAGTGGAGGGGTCAGGGGTCAGCCTCCAGGAGAGTGGAGGAGACAGGGGTCAGCCTCCAGGAGGGTGGAGGAGACAGGGGTCAGGGGTCAGCCTCCAGAGCTGCCTCGGCTAGCTGGTGTCACAGTGCAGGGCAATATGGCTGATAGAACAACAATACTAGGATGTATTGCTTCAATTTGAACATATTCTCAACACCATTCTATCTTTCATTACATGTAACTCCCTCTAAATAGCATCGATGGGTTGGTAGGGTAACAGTCATGGTCCTTTCTAGAAAAAGAGCATAATTCAATAGAAACACCAGATTCTGGTCGGTAACCAAGTAATAGCATATCATGGCAACAGTTTGACTTGGTTAAAAACAACAACATCAACAACAACAACGTGGAGGCAGTAGCATCCCACACACTTGCTAGCTAACTATCTGATCAAGTACCCTGTATGTTACACATATAACCAGAACACTGCACTCTTCAACACAGTAACTATCTGACACATACATATCTGACACTGGTACTCAGACTCAGTCTCCGCTAGTCCATCCATCAGTCACAAACACACATACAAGAGAATCGTCCCAAATGGCATTTACCCATAGGGCCCTGGTCAAAAGTAGTGCACTATATAGAGAATTGGGTGCCATTTGGGACGCAACCATAGTCATAGAGATGACATTAGGGGGGGTCACAGAGGTGATGTTCTGAGGCTCATGTCCCGTTGCTGTGTCACCACAGTGACCCGGTGGGGGTGTCGGTGTAACAGAGGTATGACATCACAAAAACGCCACACGGGTTAATGCTGCATGAATTGCAAAACTCCCTTTTAACTAAAGTACAAATAAAAGACAAATAGAGACCAACATAGAAGACAAATAAGCGACAAACCCAGAGAACACGTATGAGTTAAAAAGGTCTATAAAAATACTACTATAGCTACTGTAGAAAGAGCAGCCCTGCAGGCCTCAGAGGTTTCTCTCAGAGGTTTCTCTGGACCGGATCCTGGAGATAGAGGCAGCGTGTGAGGCCACCCTTCCCGTACTAACAGACAGACAGACAGACAGCCCTCAGAGAGCCAGGGAAGCGGGGTTAGACCAGGGATAGGATGGGGCTGGGGTTGGGGGTAGGGTTTGGGGGTTGGGGGTAGGGGTTGGGGGCTGGGGGTAGGGGTTGGGGGTAGGGGTTGGGGACTGGGGCTACTGTAGTCTCTCTCTGTCTTGTCTCTAGTGGATGGGGTTGATGTCTGTACGGTGGTTGGGCAGGCTATGCACAGTGCTGCCCCCTACAACTGTGCTGGAGGTGGTGATGGTGTTGTGCTGGATGACCTGCTGCTGGGAGCAGGGTGGGGTCGGGCTGCCGGCTGGACTGCTGTCTGGACCTGAGGGGAGGAGGACAACACACAGGGTGACTGGATGATTGGTAATTGTGTGTGTGTGTGTGTGTGTGTGTGTGTGTGTGTGTGTGTGTGTGTGTGTGTGTGTGTGTGTGTGTGTGTGTGTGTGTGTGTGTGTGTGTGTGTGTGTGTGTGTGTGTGTGTGTGTGTGTGTGTGTGTGTGTGTGTGTGTGTGTGTGTGTGTGTGCTGTGTTTGTATCTACATGTGTGGGTGGGTCCTGAACATGAAACTGAATAGAAAAACAAATGTGAAACCCTCAATAGAATAACTCTCTAGATGTCCATTTATCTAAGCAAACACTGTCCAAAAACCTTCAACTGTTAAAAACCTCTTTATTTTCACCAAAAATATAATTGTTACATTTCTATGTACAGTATAAAACACTGAACATTGTGTATTCCAAAGAAAAATCAATCTATCATATACCCCTTTCAGACATATGGAATGTGGCGCGTTGAAAGCGCCTCGGCTATGGCATGTTTGTTTGCCTGAAAGAGTATGCTTCTGAAGCGGGGCTAACATCCAGCACTAGGCAACCAGAACTGTCAATCAAATTATCTTGCGCTGCCTGCGCGCAGACCACTCACTCCTAAGAAAAGTACTTTGAAGTTGGTTAAATACAATTACTTACCAATACATTTAGTAGAAAGAAAACACATCTATCTAATTACCATAAACAACTACAGAGAAAACAACACAACAGCACACCAATCAACGTTTATTGTTGTCAGGGAAACAATACCGAACATTCTATGCAGAATTCTACTGTCTGAAAAGGTACAGACGCTTTTTTTACTTGTCTGAAAGGTTTTCAATTGTCGCTATCGACTCGTTACTGCAGCTGTGTCCTATGTATGAAAAGGGTAAATACTTTATCCCTTTGAAAAAACATGTTTGATACATTTTCACAACATACTAGGAGTGACATCTGTACACAGACAGACTGGGCTTATCAATGCAAGTCTCTCCCAGTCAGTGAGTCCAGCCCAGTCTACTCCCCCTCTACACAAGGAGCCATTAAAAGCAGGGCAGTGCGAGGGGAAGTGAGCCTGATTTTCCCCTGCCTGCCTGCTGAAGCCTCACAGCACAGGGAGGGTCTTCTGTCTTCTCCTAATTACATGGAAATGTCACCCCTATCCATATCAGAGGGTGGGGTTCTGATCTCATACTCTGCTGCTGTGGAACAGTCCAGTAACCAGCAGGGGGACCGGGACCGGCGGGACGGGACATGGGAGTTTGGACGTCGGTCAGCAGTCTGTGACGTCTTTCTTCCGTGGAATCTCTGCAGCGACCATGGGCTGTGGTTCAGTTCTACGACTCCGGTCCACTTTTGATGGAAAAACAGGCCTCATGTTCTGGGGTTGTGAGGACCAGTACCAGACTTCCAGGCCAGGTGCTCTCCTAGTGCCTCCCTCCCCCGCATCCATGAAACAGCGTGGCTCCCGCCAGCATACCTACACCCTGTGTGTATGGCAGGACAGCTGGGGAGGTTCTCTATGCAGGTTTAGCTGCATACTAGTGACAAGGCACAGGGACTAGTGTGTGTGTTTCGGGGGTTTCGCATGTGTTTGTGTTGAAGAGTGCATGTGTGCGTGTGTGAACAAGCTACTCACTGAGGTAACCTTGGGAGTCTTTCTGCAGAGTGGTGATGGGGCAGTCTTTATGGGTGAGGAGGAGCTGCTTGAGTTGGGTCACCTCGTTCTTCAGCACTGTCACCTCATTCTGAAAACAAGTCAGTCAATAAAATGTGTTTTAGAAAGCCCGTTTTACATCAGCAGTTTTCACAAAGTGATTTACAGTTACCCAGCCAACACACATTTTGAGCACAATAAGAGTGATTTACTGTTAGCTGTACTGAGTGATTATCTTTGCTTGGTGAATAAATTCAGCATTTTTTTGTATTGAATAGATCCTTAATAAAGGCACATTCTTAATAAAATGAAAATAGCTTGTTTAAGCCTCACTGCAAACCCCACAATAAATAATTACTGCAATTAAGTTTATTATCATTGCTAAAACAATGTACAATTACGGGATTAAGATTTCTATCTTAATTTGAATTTAATAACACTACGGCAAATAAATGTAACAGCTCATTGTTAGGAATGTCAAAAGACAGACAATTTCAGGGGATGGTTTTGATTTCTGGTTGAAAATCTATGAGTGTGGGGTGAGTGTCTGCCTCCTCGAACTACAACAAGCCCCTACGGAACAACAGACTGAACTGTAACAAGCCCCTACGGAACAACAGACTGAACTGTAACAAGCCCCTACGGAACAACAGACTGAACTGTAACAAGCCCCTACGGAACAACAGACTGAACTGTAACAAGCCCCTACGGAACAACAGACTGAACTGTAACAAGCCCCTAGGGAACAACAGACTGAACTGTAACAAGCCCCTACGGAACAACAGACTGAACTGTAACAAGCCCCTAGGGAACAACAGACAGAACTATAACAAGCCCCTAGGGAACAACACACTCAACTATAACAAGCCCCTACGGAACAACAGACTGAACTGTAACAAGCCCCTACGGAACAACAGACTGAACTGTAACAAGCCCCTACGGAACAACAGACTGAACTGTAACAAGCCCCTACGGAACAACAGACTGAACTGTAACAAGCCCCTACGGAACAACAGACTGAACTGTAACAAGCCCCTACGGAACAACAGACTGAACTGTAACAAGCCCCTAGGGAACAACAGACTGAACTGTGACAAGCCCCTAGGGAACAACAGACTGAACTGTAACAAGCCCCTACGGAACAACAGACTGAACTGTAACAAGCCCCTACGGAACAACAGACTGAACTGTAACAAGCCCCTAGGGAACAACAGACTGAACTGTAACAAGCCCCTACGGAACAACAGACTGAACTGTAACAAGCCCCTACGGAACAACAGACTGAACTGTAACAAGCCCCTACGGAACAACAGACTGAACTGTAACAAGCCCCTACGGAACAACAGACTGAACTGTAACAAGCCCCTACGGAACAACAGACTGAACTGTAACAAGCCCCTAGGGAACAACAGACTGAACTGTAACAAGCCCCTACGGAACAACAGACTGAACTGTAACAAGCCCCTACGGAACAACAGACTGAACTGTAACAAGCCCCTACGGAACAACAGACTGAACTGTAACAAGCCCCTACGGAACAACAGACTGAACTGTAACAAGCCCCTAGGGGAACAACAGACTGAACTATAACAAGCCCCTAGGGAACAACAGACTGAACTGTAACAAGCCCCTACGGAACAACAGACTGAACTGTAACAAGCCCCTACGGAACAACAGACTGAACTGTAACAAGCCCCTAGGGAACAACAGACTGAACTATAACAAGCCCCTACGGAACAACAGACTGAACTGTAACAAGCCCCTACGGAACAACAGACTGAACTGTAACAAGCCCCTAGGGAACAACAGACTGAACTGTAACAAGCCCCTAGGGAACAACAGACTGAACTGTAACAAGCCCCTACGGAACAACAGACTGAACTGTAACAAGCCCCTACGGAACAACAGACTGAACTGTAACAAGCCCCTACGGAACAACAGACTGAACTGTAACAAGCCCCTACGGAACAACAGACTGAACTGTAACAAGCCCCTACGGAACAACAGACTGAACTGTAACAAGCCCCTACGGAACAACAGACTGAACTATAACAAGCCCCTATGGAGGGAGAACATATTTATTACAATTCCTATTCCCTGCTTTTTGAACATAAAAGTCCATTCCAATGTGAAGACATAGGGTGCGTCCCAAATAGCGCCATATTCCCTATATAGTGCACTACTTTTGACCAGAGCCCTATTGTCCATGGTCAAAAGTAGTGCAGTAAATAGGGACTAGGGTGCCATTTGGACATAATCATCCAGTCCACATATATCTTACCAGAAGTTGCATGTTGGTCTGGGTGAGCTCTTCAGCCTTCTTCTCCAGTGACACGACCCATACTTTCCTCTTCTGTCTGCATCGCGTGGCCGCCGCTCGGTTTCTCTCCAGAAACTTCCGCCGCCGTTCGTCAGGGTCCTCGTCCACCATCCGCCTGCGGCGCCCACCGCTAGGGGGCGGAGACTGCATCGTCTGGCTCGGCTGCATCTGCTGGGCCGCCGGCGACAACTAGAGAGAGAGAGAGAGCGGTACAGACAGAGAGAGAGAGAGAGCGGTACAGACAGAGAGAGAGAGAGAGAGAGAGCGGTACAGACAGAGAGAGAGAGAGAGCGGTACAGACAGAGAGAGAGAGAGAGAGAGAGCGGTACAGACAGAGAGAGAGAGAGAGCGGTACAGACAGAGAGAGAGAGAGAGAGAGAGCGGTACAGACAGAGAGAGAGAGAGAGTGTGGTACAGACAGAGAGAGAGAGAGCGGTACAGACAGAGAGAGAGAGAGAGAGCGGTACAGACAGAGAGAGAGAGAGCGGTACAGACAGAGAGTGAGAGAGCGGTACAGACAGAGAGAGAGAGCGGTACAGACAGAGAGTGAGAGAGCGGTACAGACAGAGAGAGAGAGAGCGGTACAGACAGAGAGAGAGAGAGCGGTACAGACAGAGAGAGAGAGAGCGGTACAGACAGAGAGAGAGAGAGCGGTACAGACAGAGAGAGAGAGAGAGAGAGAGAGCGGTACAGACAGAGAGAGAGAGAGCGGTACAGACAGAGAGAGAGAGAGCGGTACAGACAGAGAGAGAGAGAGAGAACAAGGTCACACACGTGGGTCACTAAGAAGGACTTCAACCATGTCTCGTCTACCCTAATCTCTCATGAACGTCTTAACCTAGCTGATTTGGTTGTACCCTACCTGGTTCTTACTTCTACCAAACATGATTCATTCATACTTCTACTCTACCTGTTTAAAGTCACTATTCATGGTCCCTACTCTACCTGTTTAAAGTCACTATTCATGGTCCCTACTCTACCTGTTTAAAGTCACTATTCATGGTCCCTACTCTACCTGTTTAAAGTCACTATTCATGGTCCCTACTCTACCTGTTTAAAGTCACTATTCATGGTCCCTACTCTACCTGTTTAAAGTCACTATTCATGGTCCCTACTCTACCTGTTGAAAGTCACTATTCATGATCCCTACTCTACCTGTTTAAAGTCACTATTCATGATCCCTACTCTACCTGTTTAAAGTCACTATTCATGGTCCCTACTCTACCTGTTTAAAGTCACTATTCATGGTCCCTACTCTACCTGTTTAAAGTCACTATTCATGGTCCCTACTCTACCTGTTTAAAGTCACTATTCATGGCCCCTACTCTACTTGTTTAAAGTCACTATTCATGGTCCCTACTCTACCTGTTTAAAGTCACTATTCATGCCCCCCCCCCCCCCCCCCCCTCAGGCATCCATCCATACATGTACAGTGGGGGAAAAAAGTATTTAGTCAGCCACCAATTGTGCAAGTTCTCGCACTTAAAAAGATGAGAGAGGCCTGTCATTTTCATCATAGGTACACGTCAACTATGACAGACAAATTGAGAGAAAAAAATCCAGAAATTCACATTGTAGGATTTTTTATGAATTTATTTGCAAATTATGGTGGAAAATAAGTATTTGGTCACCTACAAACAAGCAAGATTTCTGGCTCTCACAGACCTGTAACTTCTTCTTTAAGAGGCTCCTCTGTCCTCCACTCATTACCTGTATTAATGGCACCTGTTTGAACTTGTTATCAGTATAAAAGACACCTGTCCACAACCTCAAACAGTCACACTCCAAACTCCACTATGGCCAAGACCAAAGAGCTGTCAAAGGACACCAGAAACAAAATTGTAGACCTGCACCAGGCTGGGAAGACTGAATCTGCAATAGGTAAGCAGCTTGGTTTGAAGAAATCAACTGTGGGAGCAATTATTAGGAAATGGAAGACATACAAGACCACTGATAATCTCCCTCGATCTGGGGCTCCACGCAAGATCTCACCCCGTGGGGTCAAAATGATCACAAGTCCCAGAACCACACGGGGGGACCTAGTGAATGACCTGCAGAGAGCTGGGACCAAAGTAACAAAGCCTACCATCAGTAACACACTACGCCGCCAGGGACTCAAATCCTGCAGTGCCAGATGTGTCCCCCTGCTTAAGCCAGTACATGTCCAGACCCGTCTGAAGTTTGCTAGAGTGCATTTGGATGATCCAGAAGAGGATTGGGAGAATGTCATATGGTCAGATGAAACCAAAATAGAACTTTTTGGTAAAAACTCAACTCGT